TTTGGAGAGGTTTTTGCTATAGGGCGCGTGTGCTTGCCAGAAAGACAGAGAGACAGAGAGACAGAAAGCTAGAAATTGCCCCCCCCCAGGGGGATGGCCACACCGCAATCCCTTCTCCTCCATTCTCTTCTCAGGATCTTGGGCATGCACATATATGTGCCTGGCATGAGTTTAAGCCAACTGGTCCGGGCCCCAAACTGTGGTTAACTACATGGGAGTCCAGCGACATAGCCATTACGCCAAGTGCTGGTCCCAAGATCCTGTGATTTGACTCAAAGTGGATGAATATCAAGGATTTAATACTAAACTAAGTAAACCAGAGTATGAAAATAGGCATCATATGTTCCCATCTAATATATACTGTCTACCCTCCAAGGCAGAAATCGAAAGATCCAAAGATACCATAGTAGGGAGGATAAGTGTAGTTACCAGAGACTGTAAAGGAGGGTAGTGTACAGTAGAGGGTCTGTAAAAGGAGTAAAGAGAGGGAACACTTAGCAGACATAAGAATGTAAAGTTCTCTATTGAAAATATGGTAATTGCCTTGATTTGATTGTCACATACGACTTGCATACTTTGAAAAAACCATATTGTGAGCTATAAAAGTATGCAGTGATTGAATGTATTGGGTTGTTAGGAAAGTCATGATGCTTCTTTGCATAGAAAAACAGAGAAAAATATGTCATGACTTTCCTGATGACCTAATAAATAAGAAATCATAAAATTTTTAAATGGGGAAAAATACCCTAAATATCTGATTTAGGATATTCTATGCACTTGAGTGCAGAGATCTAGATCCATAAGAATGGAAAGTATTTCAGGTTTGTATGGTCTGACTATTGATTATGGCAAATTAGGCAGGAGAAATAGGGCCAGGTCATCAGATAATAAAGCCCTAAACTAAGAAGATTGGACAGTAGAACGCAATGCAGAGGTATCAGAAGTATAAACATAAGAAGTACCACTGATAGCTGATTTAGGATGCTTAGGTTAGCAACACTCTAATGAACTGATTGGGAGGGGAGTGATAAGACTAGGGGAGATCAGTCTTTAGGCTATCACAATCATCCAGGGCAGACACAAGGCCCTGAATTTGCACAGAGAAGACAGGAATATCAAATGATATTAAAGTGGAAATCATGTGACTTAATGACATCAGGGTGTGGAAGAACGGGTTTGGGGAAGTGTATTGAGCATTTTGAGTTTCATGCAATTATGGGACATGGCACAGAACCTAAAGGCACAAGGGTCAGACTGCCAGAGTCTAAATTCTGACTCTGATGCTTTAGTACATTACCTTGGGCAAACTCCTTAAACTCTCTGAACTTCAGTTTTCCTCATTTATACTTTTAGAGGTTTTGACAACTTAGGGCACATATACTTGCCAGAGAAACAGAGACAGTGAGAGGGGAAAGTAAGAAATCACACCCTGGGGAGAATGGTCATGCCACAGTCCCCTCTCCTCCATTCTATTCCTGGGATCTTGGGCACACACACATATGTGCTCGGCATGATTTTCAAGCCACCAGGTCTGGGACTAGAACTGTGGTTGACCATGTGGGAGTCCAGTGACATAACCGCTATGCCATCTGCTGGCCCCCAGTTTTCCTCATTAACAGAAGTGAAACAACTGTATTTATCTCATGGGACTACTATGAGTATGAAATGAGATATGGGATACAAAGTGCTGAGCACAGTGTCCAGAACATCAGAAGCATTTAATAAACTATTACCAGACCTATTACAGTATACAGTTGGGGAGCTAAAAAGATGATCTGGAATTCAGAAGAGAGATCTTGCCTAGAGAAGGGTATTCAGGACTCAGTGTAGTAAACAGTAGTTACAGCCACATGTGTGTAAGCACCCAGAGAGTGAGTGTAGATATCATGGCATCTATTTCAGTGCCTGGAAGTAGTGATTGAATGCGTAGTGAATTTTGTTGAAAGGTTTAAGCCTGGGCTAGGGTTCAACAGTCAAGACCTGTAAACATTACAGACCTGGAAAATGAGGGCTTCTTAAATGCTGTGCCCTTGATGCCTTATTTATTCACCCTAGTCCTGACCCTGATAAGTGTGTATGTAGTGAAAAGGGAAAGGGCCAAGGCTGGAGCCTGGGAGAAATTTAAAAATTTAAAGGCTAGGAGAAGAAGGAGAGTTAGTTAATGGAGTCAATTGGTATCTGGATAACAAGAATCAGAGTGAAGAGGAGGAGAAACAGAATAAAGTGTTTTCATGGGACAAGTTTCCTGGGGACGAGGAGAGCAACAATTAGAAATGTTTCAGAATAGTCAAAAAATAAATAAACTCAAAGTATCCTTTAGGAGGTCACTGCTGATCTAACAATAGCTCTTTTTATCATATAGATGGCAGTATGGAATGAAAAGAACTACAAAAAATTACATTAAACTGCTAAAGAGAATTGAGAAAATTCAGAAGGAAAGAAGGAGTTCCAGCATGAGAGTAGAGAGAGAACCAGCATGTGCTGGCATACGTATTGGCTCACTCGTCCTGTTGACAGCACTATAAGAGATACTCTTATTATACTACTGTCATACCCATTTTACATTTGGCAAACTTTAGATTTAGAGATTATGTGACTTGCCCAAGGTCTTGCAGTCCAGAGGAGGCAGGTACATGATGCAAATCCAAGTCTGATCAGATTCTAAACCCTGTTTTTTCATTGACCACTGTAAATGGATGCAAGTATCATGAATGCTAATTAGGAGTGCCCAGGGCCAAGTAAATGAGTTGCAGAGCATGCCTGGGGAAGCTGGGAGGCATCAATATGCGATGGCATCCATCTGCAGTTTGGTGATTCTCCCCATAGTGCTCAGCTGCCTTGGAAGAGAAGAAAGAAGGCAGATGGCTGCACTGATCTAGGGGATCAGATTGCAGGGTAGGTCCAGCAATCTGAAAGGGGTCAAGGGAATTGAGAAGACTGGCAAGTAAAGAGTTGAAGACAAAATGTCTAGGTTAAATTAATTTCTTTTTCAAAAGTGAGCCCAAAGGGGACTTGCAAGGCAAGAGAAAAGGCAAGGATATCAAGGGACTAGAATGCCCCATAAAGTGAACAGCTGCAATGAAAATAAGGGAGGAGAGTTTAGTGATTTTCTTTCATTTCTCTCTCTCCCTCTCTCTCCCTTTCCCTCTCTCACTTCTTTCACACACAAAGGTGTGTGTGTGTGTGTGTGTGTGTGTGTGTGTGTTGGGGGGGGGGATTCTGATAGAGACTTCAATCCTCCAGAGTTCAGGAGTGTCCTCACAGACTAAACAGTCATAGCTAATATAAACAATGTCCTAAATTCCAGAAAAATGCTTACATCATTGGAGTTCCTATGCCAACTGAAAGTGTTGTGAGTCTGAAGATAAAAAAATCAAATTAATGCAGTGGTTTTTCTTTAACATCTACTGAGAGTCACTGGGGTTATATTTGCAGCTGGATCATATTTAGGCTGCTGTTCAGAAGATGTTTGTTCTGAAGTCATCTGGGCAACTGTGTCTAGAAAACACAGCCTGGCCAGGGTGATAGATCACCTTGCAAGGATCAACAATGAGCTATTTTCAAGTGATGACAAAGTATGAAGTTAACCGCTTATTTGAGAACTTTGTTTTTCATCCAATGTAAATTCAAATGTGATTGAAAATCTGACCTTTTATTGCTGGAGTGCTTCTGACTAAAAGTAAAATTGAATTTTAATTCCTAAGTCTTGATGTGTATGCAATATTATGGGAACATCACAGATTTTGGCTCAATGCCCCAAAGAGAAATTGGCTTTGGGATTACTTGGATTAAAAACAAAGCCTTTCTTAAGAGACATATTTAATTTTCATGATGTTTTCTTTTTTTTTCCCTAAAGTTAAAGAATAATTATTTTAATTTTTCAGTTTTTCTTGATCATGAGAATGCCAACAAGATTCTGAATCGGCCAAAGAGGTACAATTCAGGTAAACTGGAAGAGTTTGTTCAAGGGAACCTTGAGAGAGAGTGTATTGAAGAAAAGTGTAGTTTTGAAGAAGCACGAGAAGTTTTTGAAAACACTGAAAAAACTGTGAGTATTTTCACATAATGTCCTTTACTTATTTTTAATTTATTCATCCATTTATTATTTTAATTTGACCAAAGAGAGACAGAGAGAGAGAGAGGGAAAGTGAGAAAGCAAGCCACCAGGTCCAGGACTTGAACCGTGGTCGGCCATGTGGGAAGGTCCAGCGCCTTAACCACCACGCCACCTGCTGGTCCCACACATAATGTCCTTTAAATGCAGAGCAAAAAAACGGAAAAATGTTACAAAAAAAAAAAAAAAAGAAACAAAGTTATCTTTGGAATTTTCAAATACATGTGTATCATCAATGTTATAAGAGAAACACGACACCAGGATACTTTAAATACTATCATTAATCTGTTCTCTTTTGTTTCTTTATAGACGGAATTTTGGAAGCAGTATGTTGGTAAGGAACTCATTTAAGCCACTAGTTAGCTTATATATGAAACATTTGGGAATTATGCATTTATTTCTCTGTATAAATAAATATTAAACTCTGTGAAAAAGGCTTCCCCCCAAAAACAGTCTAACTCTTTAACCCAAGATGGATTGGTGACATACTGCTTGTTTATGCCAATGCAGGAGATATCTTTTGAGAGGTAAGTTTACTCTTCCCAAAAGCTTCAGAAAAAACATCACTCCATATCAGGAAGCTGGAAGAAATTGCAATGATTATATATTGGGATCTGATGAGGGTTTACAATCCTCAATAGAGAATCAGAGAATATGGATTGATGTAAATGTTTACTGTTTAAAAGTTCTCTTCATTATGGTGGCCAATAGGCCCTCCACAACTAGTCTCACTGCCTTTCTGGTCTCCTCTCCAACTGCCCTCCTCCTTACACACTGGGCTTAAACCATCCCAGTCTCCCTGTTGCCACTTGCATGCTCTAGAATGCTCCCAGTTTACAGACTCTATCTGGTTGTTGTACAGCTTCCCCTAGGCCTGCTCCCTCACCTCCTTCGGTTCTGTACCCAAAAGCTGTCATCTCAATGAGGCCTCCCTTCATCATCTATACTTCAACCTGCGCTCCAGTAGCCTTACCACTCTAGACACCATACACTGCTCTATTTTTTTAATAACACTTTTTACCATCTAATGTATATCGTTTTCTTACTTATACTATTTATCACATATTTTCCCCAACCAATTTAGAATGCCAGCTTTGCACTGGCAGGGATATTCGCTTGTTTTGCTTATGGATATATTCCTAGCACCTAGAATAAGGATACTCAGTAATTATTTTTCCCGGGAATTGATCAAAAGGAGTAAAAGTCAAAAATTTAATGATAACTAATTTTAAAACTAATTTAAATTCCAGAAGTATGATTTTGAGGGAGGGTAAGTTTCAAAGGTTGACTTACCTAAAACCATCTGTATGGATTAACAAATGAAGTTTGTTAGCAAATTCACTCAATTCCATCAATTTGAGATCCAATTCTACTTTCTGAAGTTCCTGTTCTAGAGACACTATTGGAGATTCTCATGCCTTTATAACTCATAATTCATCCACTTTTGTTTTTCAGTCATGAGAACAAAAGTTGACCTCTGTAATTTTGCTTTCTCTACCTGTCCTTGTTCTTAGTGATGAATGTCACCATGTCACAGTCTCTTGTGGTATCCTCCTAAAGTTGGTCCAAATAAGTCTTCTTATGCTCTATTCCTACTTAATTTAAAACTTTGAATCTTGTTATTTATTTTTAAAAGTAAATCAATGCCTACTTAAAAAATATTCTGGCTATATATAATCTCCCATAATCCCCTCATTACCCGCCGCTCCAAACCCTCAGCAGCACATTATAAAGCAGAATCCCTGCCTTCTAGGTTAGGAATGTGCACTGTTTGTTGTACCATGGGTATAGATAGCTGAAAAATATTTGAGAATGATTCTGCCACTACTGCTTTGTTATTTTGCCTACCAAAAAATAAAACAAAAATAAGAACAGAAAAGAAACCTGGGACCAGCAGTTGGAGTAATGGCTATGTCGCTGGACTCCCATGTAGTCGACCGCGGTTGAAGTCCCAGACCCAGTGGCTTAAACTCACGCCGGGCACATGTACGTGCGTGCCCAAGATCCTGAGAGGAGAACGGAGGAGAAGGGATTGTGGCTTGGCCATCTCCTCGGGGGATGATTTCTCACTTTCTATCTCTTTGTCTCTCTCTGTCGTTCTGGCAAGCACACGTGCCCTATAGCAAAAACCTCTCCAAAAAAAAAGAAAGAAAGAAAGAAACAAACAAACAAACAAACAAACCTGTATGTCTCTTTTCACTTGCAATTGAGATTTCTAATCACCACAAAGGTAGCCCATGCTATTTCTCACATATCAGAGAGATTTAGCCTCCTTACTGCTTTTCTGTTCTCTATCATCAATTCAATGCAACTGTGCAGAGGTTGTTCAACTGAAAGAATGAATGCCTATTAAACAAAAACAACAACAACAAAAAAAACATAGAGAAGTAAATACCCAAATGCATTAACTAGCATTTGTCAAGCACTTTGCAATTCACAGAATGGCTATCATATTTCATCCTCACACCATCACTGTGAGTAAAGCATTATCAACTTCATTTTCCAGAGGAGGAACCTGAGGATTAGGGAGCTCAAGAGACCTTCTGAAGATCTACTAGTTGAGAAGTAATGAATCCCAGAAGAGAACCCAAGTTCTCTAACTGTCCCATTCCTTGCTTTCACTACCGAACCTCATGGCCTTGGAATCTAAATGCAGTTATTCATTAAACAATAATCTAGTATTCTTAACAGGAATCTCTCAATGGCAATGTCTCTCTTATTGTCTTTGACCCCTACTGTCTATGGCTTTGCCTCAGCCCAAAGTACACACAGACAAGAATCCAAAGGAAGACAAAATGTAGGATAAAATGATACTCATTTTAAAGATATGTCTCAGCAAATGAGTTCCTGTGTAGCTGGCTGAAAGCCCAGACCCTTTCTGTGAAACATCCTAAATAATTCAGATTTGTTGGTCTATATAATATAAAGTGCAAATGTAGCTCATTTTTTAGACCAGTTCTGAACATCAATAATAATAAACCAGAGATAACACATTTTGTTTTCATAGAATTGGAACAAATTGAAGTATCTGTGCAAAAACACATTAGATCAAGGGGCAGAGGGGACAAGGTTTAATTTTTATAGCAAGCAGATATTCCAGAGAGGTACTATTTCTGAAAAAGAGCTATTAGTATCTTAGTCATAGGAACCTGAAATACAAGCTTCTGACAGAGAGGAGGAGGAACAAGCAGGGCTCTAGATACTATATATCATGGAGTTTTGCTCTAAAACATGATTGACAATTAGAATTTTTTTTCTCTGATTTCTCCACCTTTCTCTGATTCTTTTTGTTATCTTTATCTCTTACTCTTCTGTTTCTCAAACAACAGTTTTACTGATCTAGCTCCCATTTCCTCTTTAAGACTATTTTACTTAGCTCAAAGTGGATACCAGTCTCTCTTCTGGTTCTATTCATCCTTTTCTCCTGATGCTTCCTTAGACGTATGGATTGAAGCAGAATGCTAAGACAGAAGACTTAATGTTTCCCTTCTCATCCTTACCCTTCTCGTCTTGCTTATTCTTCCCTCTTGTTTTCTTACCACCAGTGTCTTCAAAGGCTTTCAAGAACTCTGTAAATTTAGAAACTGAAGGAAAGGCAGAATGGAAACATGGCCAATCTGTACACAAATAAAGCATACACAGAATTTTTAAAAACTCCTTATGATACATTAAAACACTGTTTCTCACTTTACCTAGTTTGTAGACAATGGATTATCTTTAAGCAGTAACATAATTCTAGCACCTTTACTATTGTCTTGAACCATTAATGCACACAATACTTAAAAGTTAAATGATAATACAAGGAAGTAGATGCATTTGCTCCATGCCCAGGTCACCTGTTCCTTGTGTGGAAACACCATAAATTATCTATCTTAACTGGCTCTATAAGACCTGCAATAGAGCAGGCCTTGCATGACATTTGGGTTATATTTTGTGAAATTATTTGATTTAGAACTAAGTACGCTATCATTCTGTAAGGAAGAATTGGAAATCCTTCTCGCCCTATGCTGATCTGGTTCATTTGTACCCAAAGATATTCTCCCTATTCCCTCACATTGCATAAACCATGTACCTGCCTCCCTCGGGGCAATTTCTTAGGATAGTGTTACCTTAAGAACCTTTGCTTAGGTGGCTTTTAGAAACTCAGGAAGACAGGCACATCACATGCCTATAGGCAACTGGCTTCCAGGTCAATAGTCCTGCACTGACCCTAAAATCAAACTTCCAACCCCATGAGTCTGTACAGGGGAGGACTGGGAATTCTAAGCAGTTTATCTGCTAACTCAATTTCTTAATCTATCTCAAAGATGGAGATCAGTGTGAATCCAATCCATGTTTAAATGGCGGCAGTTGCAAGGATGACATTAATTCCTATGAATGTTGGTGTCAAGTCGGATTTGAAGGGAAGAACTGTGAACTAGGTAAGTAACTGTTTTGTGATTATTCATGGCTCAATGTTTCCCTTGAAAATCAGGTGAAATTGGAAAATGCAATATTTATGTAGCGCAATTTCTTTAAAAACCTATCCTTTCAAAGCTTAAAAACATTTGCTTCCTCAGAAGTCAGTTTCCAAGATATGAGTTTAAGAAAATATATTAATAACAATAACAATATTTGGTAGCTAACATTTAGTGATAATAATGCTCTGTTCACTTAACTTAGTAATTCTTAGTACAAACATATGCAGTTTGTACCATTATCACCTCCATTCTATGAAGATAAGAGAGCTGCAGCTCGAACAGTTCAAAATCACAAAGGCATAAGTGGTTGAGTCAGGACCTGAAATTCAGTTTGACCAATATCCATGCTTCTAACTACACTAAAAACTCAGAGAAAACTGAACCCATACAATTATTTCAACTCATTGATAATTGCTATCAACATAGGCAGTGAAAGTCAATTAAGTATAGACCAATTGTCCCATAATATAGGAAGTTCTCCACACATACAAACTACTTCTCAAGTTGAATTTGTTGACAAAAGTCAGAGGTCATTCCTGAATTTGACCATATTGATCACATCAAAAGAGCTACATTATAAATTTAGGATCATTGTGTAACTTTTCTTCTCACAACCTAGAATTGTTTTGAGAATTTAATAATTGGAGAAGTATACCCAAAGTCATTTGTCTACTTATTTATTACCTCAGATGGCTATATGACTAAGGACAAAGAATAGAAAATTAGTAGGATGCTATTAAGATGTTATAGCAATCCACCTGATAAATGAAAAAGGCCTAAAATGATATTAAATGTATAAGGTACTTGTCCTATTGAAGATAGAAAAAAAGTCACCTGTTACAGTGTTTTGAAATCCTTTCAATACTAAAGAAAAATCCATTCATCATCCTCCTTTGAAATCTAAGATCTTAGAAGAAAAAAGAAAAGGTGACAGGACAAAAGCATTTAAATAGAACAAAAAGAGTATATATATGCAGGTGAGCAAACTAAAATACCTGGCTTGGACTCCCATTTCCTTAGGTTTCCCAGAGTGGGAGGAAAAAAAATGCCTGTTATCTTTTCTGCAACTGTACATTGGTTCAACAGACCTAAAGTGCTACTTTCATTTGAAAGGTTATCATTCCAAAATTATTGGATTGTCAGAAAAGTCATGATGCATTTTTGCATTGAAAAACAGAAAAATACATCATGACTTTTCTGACAACCCAAAATATTTACCTATCAATAGATTAATTTAATACTGCTATTGTGGAAATCTACAGAAATCTTGGGAGCAATTACTTATAATCAGTTTAAATAACATAACTATTGGAACTGAGTGACTGAGTAACTCAATTAGTCTAGTTACAAAAGAAGGGTACAACAGGGACCAGCAGATGGCATAATAGTTATGTTGCTGGACTCCACAAGGTCGACCTCAGTTCGAGTCCTGGATCCAACAGCTTGAAACTCATGCCATGGAGGTTAGGGTGCTGGATCCCAGGCCGACACTGCAGTTCAAGTCCTGGACCTGGCAGTTTAAAAATCACACTGGGTGTGGGTGTGTGCATGCCCAAAATACTGAGAAGAGAATGGAAGAGAAGGGATTGAAGCACAGCCATCTTCCCGGGGATGATTTCTTGCTTTCTGTCTCTCTGTCTCTGGCAAGCATACATGCCCTATAGCAAAAATCTCTCTAAAAGAAAGGGGGTATAACATAGGAAACTATAATTGAAGACATAAATGTCGTTATCTAGTTTAAGAATAAGGACACTTTAAAAGGAAGGGAATAGCTTTGAGGAATGTAAATATAAGCACAGACTTCTGGGTCATCACAAAAGTCACAATGCAGTTTTACATAGAAAAACATGTCATGAAGACCAACAATTGGCGTAATGGCTATGTCACTGGACTCCCATATAGTTGACCGTGGTTCCAGTCCCAGATCCAGTGGCTTAAATTCATGCCACACACGTGTGAGTTCATGCCCAAGAAGATCCCGAGAGGAGAATGGAGGAGAAGGGATTGTGACATGGCCATCCCCTGGGAGGTGATTTCTCACTCTCTATCTGTCTCTCTCTATCTGGTGAGTGCATGAGCCCTACAAGCAGAAACCTCTCAAAAAAGAAAAACAACTCATGCCTTTCTGACAACCCAATATAATGGGGTTTACTACATATGTGAGGTTATGGGCTATACAGCATAAATGTTAACTCACACCACTGCAATACTCTCATGTTCCCACATTTTGGTTTGGTCAGGACTCTACAGTTGTACTACAGTCACCACCATACCTGTCCTCTGGAGTATATTGATCTTACCCAGCCAATTTGATCAAGGTTCAGAGAAATCTTTACTGCTCCATTTGTTCAGAAACAAAATTTCTATTCTGTTAAAAAGATCTTTATCTCAGACACTAGAGAAAACCAACAGCAAAAGCATATACAAAGTCTCATCTAAGCTTGTTGTTTCCAACTAAAGACTAATCTCAAGAGCTAATAGTTTACAGAGTATCTGTGCCCCAAGTCTCTTACCTTATACCATCTTGGAAAAGGAAAGATTTCCATTGTTAAAATCTCTGTTTTATTTTTCCCTTATTCATCAGCTCTTCATCAGGGAGAGAAGTGCAAACATTCAGGGTGTGCTATTTAGTTAGAATAATAATAATTAATTGGCTATTGTGTCTCTTTAGCTAGAATAGAGACCTCTAGGTCCCCAGCTGCATAACATATGCAAATATCTTTGAGATGGACTGAGGTCTGTGGAACTTGGTCATTCCTGTCCCTTCAGAAAAGCGGTATTTTGGGGACCAGCAGTTAGCATAATGGCTATGTCATTGAACGCCCATGTAGTAGACCATTTTGAGTCCTGGACCTGGTGGCTTAAACTCACACGAGGCACATGTGCGTGCGTGCCCAAGATCCTGAGAGGAGAATGGAGGAGAAGGGATTGTGGCGTGGTCATCCCCCCTGGAAGGTGATTTCTTGCTTTCTGTCTCTTTGTCTGTTTTTCTGGTGAGTGCACGCGCCCTATAGCAAAAAACCTCTAGAGGAGAGAAAGTGGGGGGGGGGGGGGGAGCGGTATTTTCACAGTAAGGTAGGATGAGGGATAAAAACCACACACACATACACACTTGTTTTTCATTTTTCTAGCATGTGAAAGACACTACTGTCGTAATCACCACATGTTTCTGTGGAAGGGATCATTTCAACAAAACTGTTGAGTTTCGTTGAAATATAACATTTTCTGTAGTAAACTTGTTAAATAGAATTTCTTTTGCACAACCTTTAGTTGTCACATCAGTACTTATCATGCAGGGAAAATGAAGGTAGGATAAAATAGATTATGATGACTTTTGTAGTACACATAAGGAGAATTAGAAATCCTGTGTGTGCAAACATGCAAGAAGAACAGATGCTTTGAGATATTCTTCAACAAATAGGTACATTACAGTAAATGTACTACACACTGAGACCAGCCTCAAAACTAGGGAAAACACATACCCAACGTCATGCCTGATGTCTAAGTGTGCAATATGAGGGGAATTCAGAAAGTGTGTAAAGAAATGGAGTTAAAATACGAATTTATTTTGGTGTCAAAAAATGAAACTCATTCATAGTTTTTTCAAATATGCATTTTTCATGAACTTTTTGAAGACACCCACATAATTGATGAATGAGTCTCATTCTGATTATTCCTTCAGTCCTATTCAATGGAATTTTCCATTGAAATTCCTGGTGTTATTCTATTTCTAGAATCCTGAACCTTTTATCTGAGGGTAAAAGACTAATGATTAGAAGGAATATGTCCCACTTTGTACACAAACTAAGAAATCAACAGCAGCAGCAATATATTAGGCCGTAAAGGATCAACAACAAATAAGGAAAAGATAGAGGGGTTTGGATCCTTAGAAAATGACACAGAATTAGAATAGATAAAATTACACTGAGTTTACTCATTCCCATTGCGCATGCCCCCAGCCAAGACCAGACTGAACCTACCACCTACCTCTATCAACTTATCACAATCTCATGTTGACTGAACATTTTCTACGAGTGATATTTGATTTGGCTGAACACTTTTGCATTGCTTTGTAGCAACAGAAGGCTAGATAATAAAGTAAAAAGAGCCAGGGATGTTATCACCATTAGTGAGGAGAGAGATCCTAAAAAAGTAAATAAATAAAAAGGACCAAGAGCCATCCATTTATATTGTGTACTTAGTGGATTATCAGTAGCAAAGAGTAATGCTTAGACTGGTTCTTTGGTCCAAATTGCAACACTGATTTGCTTCTCATTTCCTGAAGTATCAGTGAGGATCATGCGCTAATAATTACCTTAGCCTATGCTAGCATATGTATTAAGAACATAGAGTTTTAATGTTTTGATTTGTCCTCAAAAATGTGTGATATATTCCAATACCATGTAGTCACTCTGTTAGTCTGTGTTCTCCCAGGACAAAACATGCCTGTGACACAGGCTTACTTATTAGAGTGTACAATTCTAGTGACAAGAATAAGGGACAAGAGTGTGAGACAGGTAGGAGAGGAGAACCAATAAAATGATGAATTATCAAGCTACTCACCCATAACTTCAACTGATTGCTTGATCTCCAAGAAGCCACATGAACTGTCCTCAAGATAGTTGACCTGAAAGGGAAGAAGAGGTGAAAGAATTTGTCAGCTTCTGTCTTCCATAGATCACAAGTTCAGCTCCCTCATTTTTTGGAGGGGCATGCATGGGCACCTGAAGATGCATGTTATCCCATGCCTTAGCATCAACATGGAGTCGCCAAGAGAAGTACATATATGAGAAAAGGCAATGCAAGGGTACACCTATATGAGGTCAGATGAAATCCATGCAAAGTTGACCACAAAACAGTGCTTCTTAGCCTAAGAAGCTAAGAGGAACTAAGTTGATGCATAGGATATATTGAATACTATCATTCATTTTCAAACTTTCCATGATAAAAATTACACTGAC